TGTGCTACAGTAATACAAATCACCCAGTCTTATCTTCCTTATGCTATTGTTATCCAGGGGTAGAAGTAAATGCATAGAGAAGAATTTGAGATCAGGAAAGGAGTGAAGGATCCTGGGCAGGTGCCTGCTTTGGGGCAGAATCAATCATGGGGTAACCCTATCTGCAGAATTTAGGCATGAGAAGGGAGTTAACTCATAGTTGGTTAACTACTGTCTGCTCAGGAAATGTGCTAGATGAGGGATTCTCCACCTGGGGGTCTTTCTAGGAAGGCAGGGCAAGACAGGCCAAATTTGAGTGAAAAGGGCATTGCAAGTTGGCACTATTGTAGGAGGGTTGATCCAGTTTTTTTTAAAGCAGCTTAAGTGAGGCATAATTCAAAAAAGGTTGAGAACCTCTGTGCTAGATAATTTGTTCCTAGTAGGTGAAGGGCCATGGGAGTTGCACCAAGAGGATGGCACCATTTCAACAGCTTGATTCCTTCCTGACAGAGGGGAGGGAAAGGCACCCCATTGCCTCTTCATAGAATAGAATACAGTGCAGCGCTGTTCTTTGTCAGGACCTGGACTGTGGTTCCTTCCAAGTCCAAAGGAATAAAATAAGCATGTGGATAAGGTTCTGGAAGCATCCTTGGGGGATTCCCCTCTCAGAAGCCATTCATCCAATTGCAGGTAAATACCTATTCCTTGCCATCTCAGGTGGGCAGCCACTACTGCCAGGTACTTTGTGAATACTCTCGGCAGGACTGTAGACAAGCTGAAAGAGTACTCTGTATGGGTAGTGGTTGTAGCTCACTGTAAATGTGTCCTGAAGATCAAGAGCTGCAAATTAATGCTAACCTTCTAGAGAACTGATGATTGAGGCTAGTGTTGCTAATCAATATGAATTACAATAAACTCATTTCCTCTTTCTCTTTGGGATATAAGGAACTAGCAAGCATAGAAACCCCTCCCTCTGAAGTCCTGAGGTGGTACTACTGTGGTTCTTAATTGATGTAAGAAATCCACTTCTTCCCTCAGTTGTTTCATGAGATGGATCTGTGAAGAGGCACAGCGGGGTGGAGAGCAGGCTCTGGTGCCTGAAAAAAATGGGATTGGCAGAAGGACGGTGGGATTGGCACACAGCTCTTGACTTGAATATCAAACCTCTTGATGGTAGAGGGGGACGGGGCTCTCTTGCAGAAGCAGCAAGACTTCTTAGAGGAGTAATAAACAGGTGGCTGTTGCCGATAGGAGGAAGTTCTGTCAGAAATGGCCCTAGTATCTAAATGGTTTTCTCCTCCTGGGAAGTGTAGCAATACCCAGCGCCCCCACTGTTGCCTATACTCAAGTTATATAATTGTTTATCTGTGCAAGAAGTCCATAGGTCTGGCCCTTGGAAGAGTGATCTTCAATGGTTGTTCGATTGAACAGATGTAACAAAGCTGCCCTCCTCATGGTGATGGATGTGGCTGTTGAATAGACTGCTGTATCAGGTTTTCAAGGACTGCGTGGAGGGAAGTTCTAGCTACTTACTAGTCCTGCCAAAATGATGGCTTTCACGCCAACCCCCACTTCCCCTGGAAGCTTGTCAATGAATGGGGATATTCTATTCAAGCTCAGTCATATTTAGTAAATATGGCTTGATAGTTGGCTATGTGCAGATAAAGAGACACCTAGAAATAGGCCTTTCTGCTTAAGAGGTCAAGGATCTTTGTCTTTTGAGTAGCTTTAGGGGGTCCTGTTTGTTTGGAAATCCTTTTTGAGGTAGTTGGTATCTTTCATTAGTGTTGAAGATATAGAGGCTGGAGTCTACCACAAGTCATCTCGAGGCTCTAGTACTCCACTTATTGGTATTGACAATCTGCCTGGGAGACTAGAATGCAGAATATTCAATTTTATGTGCTTTCTACAACCAATAATCCAAGGTCCATAATGTCCACCTTTCCTTGTAATTCCTGAAGGGAGTCTATTAGCAGGAAGTTGTATGGGAGAGGATGCCACTGCCTCATACACAATGATGAAGAAGAATAAATCCTTAGTTAGCTGGAAAGAGGTTAAGAAGAATTTCCTGTGGCCCATGACATCTTTTGATCCCTTCCGTTCTGGGAAGGGACTCAGTGGTACAAGTTGCTCTTAGAGCAGAGGTGGTAGGTGGCTGTCTCAATGTAGTACTGGGATTCAGGGGCAAGCTCCCATTCAGTGCTGAACTCAGTCTGAAGATTGGGGACAACTGCCTGAAGGGGTAATAGACCTGTTCTCAGTACTAGTGACAGTAACCTTGATCAGAGTCTTTATTTACAGAAGTGCTAAAAGAGCAGGATCTCTTGCAAGAGACATCCTCCTGGGTGAAATGAACATCTTTCTGAATTGCTCTAGAAGGTAGAGCTTTCACCAAGTGCCTCTTTGGTATCAGACAAAGCTGTGGGATGCACCCCATCTGTGGGGCAACTGTTCCTATTTCAGCTAGTGGTTCCATGAAAGAGCTCAATTTCTTTTCACATTTAGCTTGAGTGAAGATCAGCTGTTACACCCAACACAATATACTAACCAATTTCCCTCCAATAAGAAACTTTCACACCAGAAGACTGCTTATCTGCTACATTTCAACACAGATTTTACCTGATGTGAAACAAGGGGTTTATCTGCCTCCTCCTTGACCCCCTTCTAGAGTGAGGTCGTATAATCTCCATGGCAGATGTCTGAAGCAAAGACTCAAGTTATAGTAGGAGGATGAAAGTCTATACTAACAAATCCATATGTGCCAAGTAAGTTAGTGTAATTGTCATCTTTCTTTAGGGTGTGAAGCTAAGAGACTTTAGTAAAGTAGGGGAAGCTATTAGGCAAAATAGATGGAAGTCAACTGAGCCTGTATTCTATCCAATAGTACCATTTCATTGCATCAAATTGTGAAGGGTTGTCCCTAAAGTAAACTACCTCCATTAAAGGCAGCCTTTTTTCTTGCTCTAAATTTTCATAGTTGACCTTGCAACATCTGACCTCAGCTCTATCCCATTTCTCCATAGCATAACTTTTGAACACCTTTGATCAATTCTAAAATTTCAAGGTATGTTCTAGGCATCAGTGACAATAACCCTATTGATTTTTGGGGACAACTGCACCCTCAAAAGCTGGAAATGGAGGACACATGGAGCTGTTATCTGTTGATGGTATGTATTAACAGCTTGCACTATTACATGTTGATACCTTACATCAAAGAAGAAAAAACTCCTTTCTCAGCTGGGAGTTGAGCAGAGAGGTTACTTCCTTCCTTATATCCTGCCACATCAATCCTTGGTCCAGGTAGGGGAAGACTGAGCCCTGCTTTGAACAGTGGGATGGCTAGTGCCCTGGTGGAGAAAGGTATTTGGCAGGGGGGACAAATAAGCCAGATCAGGACAATGGAGAAGGCTGCTGTGGGGGAAAGGAGCATGGTGGGAAGAACAGGTCAAGGGGAAAGAGAAACCTTTACCATGAAGGGGAGAATGAGGGGGATGCTTGTATGGGGGGGGGGGGGGAATGAAGGGACACAAGAAAATCCTGGTGTACACAAGAAGCTCTACCTACAGAAGCTATGAAGTATACACCTTGTTTAATTTCTTTTGACTACTACTCAGTGCCAACATATACTGTGGCCTAAAGACCGAACCTAAACCCTCTAAGTTTGAGACATACCTATTATGAAACACCTTCCACTGACTGACAAACACAAGCAACATCCTTTCTGGTTGGGCATAAGCCACAAGCAAGTTCAGGCAGGAATCTGAGCTATGTAGGTCAAGAGGTTTGAGGAGAGGGCTGAATGGAAATACTGGAAGCAGCAGAAGGAAATCTAGAGACAGGCAGAAGAACTTCCATGATGCTGGGGAAAAGCACTAGCTGGAAAGAGGCTTGCAACCATGAGCAAAGGAAGTGTCTCCTCCCGTATTCAGGGAAACAGGATTACACCAAAGAAACAGCTCACACCATCAATTTCTCCTAACAGACAATGACCAAGACCCCAAATACTAACCAACCAGTCAGGTCAAAAGGGGTATCATCATCAAGAAGGTAGCAGTTCTATGCACATTTCCACTGCTTTAGCAGGGGAGTTATTCTAGACAAGTGTAACCATGCATTAAATCTATTAAGAGATAAAAGTAGGTGGTACAATTTAAGTGTCCCATTGTGTCTCCACTGCAGTCAACAAGAGTTTGTCACTAACTTCAATAAGGGGTAAGAGGCAAAAGTAGTTTAGAAGCATCACTTTTTTTTTTTTTAAGTCCTTACATTCAGCCTTCAAAGAGTTTTATAAAACAATTTTTGCTATGAAAAAAGTATACTTTTTATGTTACATTTATAACAAAGCTTTTCAAGAAAATAATAGATACATGTATTCAATTGCATCAGACTTCAAATGAAAAGACTACACAATACAAAAATTTTAGAACTTACAAACTCAGGAGTCTAATTGGCCAGTACTTTTCTAACCTATAAAAGGTGCACTTTCTTCTCCACCAACTCTACTCAACTTTAGCATATGGAAAGGATTTAAGAGGAAAAGTAATTAAGGTAGATTCTGTTCATGAATATTCAATACACAAGTTTTACAACCAATTGCAAACAAGGATAACTTTACTCGCAGACACTATCAGGTAGTTTAGACTCCAAAAAAAATGTACTGTTAGATTTTTTTTTTTTAAAGACACAAATGTCCTCAATTTTTGAAATTAAATGAAAATAGCTTAATGGAATTTAGACAACCCTCACCATGTTTGAAATCCTAACAGAGCACTATACTAGTATATGAAATCCTGAAAATGAAGGTGATTAGTAATGTCATTGCTCAAACTAGGTGCAAAAAATTAATAGCCTAGTGAAAATTTTTTTTTTTTTTTTTTTTAAGAACTGTTAGTCAGAAATATTAGTAATGCAGGTAACAAATGTGTTTTGAAGCCACAAACATATTTTAGCATCGAGTATTTAAAAATGTCAAAATAAAAGGAAGCGCATCTTACTGCTTATAAGTACAAAAACTAAGTCTCTGAATTTTTGGTGTGCTTTTATTCCTTTTAGGCATAATAAAGGAAGACGTTTAAACCAAATATGATGTTTAAATAAATTACATACTTTCATCTTTTTGGTGGTGGCTCTTCTATATTGATAACTGCCTTAATATTTGCTTATTCATTTAATTCACAAGGAAATGCTAACAAGCACTACTTATACTACTGACTAAGGAGCACGCTGTAGTGAATATTCTTTAGAGACTGTATCTAATATACAGCTAAGACCACTTCCTTAGGATGAACTAGACCACAGATAGACTATTACACACTTTACATAAAGTTTCAAAGGAAGATTAGAGCTAAAGCTACCATAGCACTCAGAGCAACACAATTCTTAGTTTGTGAAGAACAAAAAGTGACTAGAGGGGGAGGAAAAAATTCAGGTTGTTAAGATTTCTACTCTGTCTAAATTTATGTTCAAATTAATATCCCAATAACACTTCTAGCACAAGGCACTGTTCCCTCTCTCTAACAGTGATCATAGGATCCATATGTTTCATCTGATATAAAGAGGGAGCTAGAAGCCAGAGTGCAGTAGCATTCAACATTAACCTGATTAAAGAGACAGTAACCTTTTTTGTCCACCTTAGTGTATGAGTTGCTGTGACCCCAAAAAAAAAATTTAAAAAGTACCACTTCCAATTTCTTTATTTGTAACCTTTTGAAACTAATCACATAGAACTACAAAATTAGCAAATGCCTTGAAATCTGTATACAAAACATAAATTACCTCTAATTTCAAACTCAGTTATTATTGTACCACTCAATCCTTAGAAAAAGTGGCTCCAACACTAAATCTCAGACCATTCTTAAAAAAGGAAACTGTTCCTTTAATGTCACACCCTGCCCTCCCCCCCACACCCGAATTTCAACAGGTATCATTTAGTCATCATCCTCAGGGACATTGCCAAGATGAGATTTAATGTTCCGTTCCCATAACTTCTGGTTGTCAGAAAACCCATGCTTTCCTTTGTTGAAAGAATTTGGTCCTGCTGAGGTTGGTGTATCTCTGCAAAAAGAAAAACAACAATTAGATGTGGAGATTAGTTTAATCAAATAGTTGGGAGAACTGGATGTGTGACTGGAATGTTTCAGCTTCACTTTGCTGTTTCATATCCAGCTTGTGTCAGGAGTGCCCAAAAGTTATAACTGTTGGTATGGCTCTTCAGGGGCTTCTTATGTGAAATGAGCTTAGTTCCCTCAGTTTGGTTTCCAGTGGATAGGTGTCTGTCACAAGTGGCAGTGTTGTCACCTGTCCCCAGAATTGATCCCTCCAAAATCAGCATGAGACACCCGGGCAAGGGGGGGAGGGACAAGTACCACTGCTGCTGCCTGTGAAATACTAGCTCTATGGATAAAAAAAACACAGGATCCAGGCCTGTCAATTTTGCATCTTTCAATAATAAGCCGACAGACAATAAGTTTTTTTTTTTTTAAGAAATAAAATGTTAAACTGCTTTTAAAGTCTGAGACCCAAACTTAGCCATCATCTCTGGGTGCAACTTCACTGAAGACACCTCTGTTTATATTAGAGCCTAACTTGGCCCTCACTCTCTCAAAGTTGTAGCAGCCAGAAATTAAGTTTACAGATGCATCCAGAGAACGCAAAAACCATTATATACTCATATTTTCAGTAACAGTTAAGTCCCCATATGGAGAGATTATGCTGGTGTCTTAACGATAGCATACTAAAGTACTTCTTATGGGGAAAAATTCATTTTAAAAAACCCCATTCAACCCAAGCCCTTTTTTCCATATGCAGAGATTCAAGTTCTGAACAGACTACCCCAGTCTAGGAATATTTATACTGTGAAGGGTAAAACCAGATAGTCTGGGGTTGGGGAAATCTGGAGTTCGATAGAAGGAAAAAAAAAGACACACAACAGCAGAAGTAGTTTGCTTCTTTCAGTAACAACCACAAACTGCATCCAAATTTGCATCCTGTGGGAGGAAGCAGAACCTCTCTTCCCACTCTGGCAAAGCTAAGGGGGTATTTAAATGGGTGCATATCTGCAGGCCTGCATTCAGCCACAGCTGACACACAAGAGGAATTCCAGTTGATAACATCTCATTTCTGTAGAAAGTGACATTAAAGCTAACCTGTTTGCCCTTCATACATTTCTGGACCATATGCAGGACTTAATCTGAACTGTAGAAGGTCCATCCTCCCCACCCATTCAACTCCCTCCCCCCCTCCTTTGGAAGAATGAGGTTAAAGCTGATCTACCTTCCAATATTCTTCATGCGCATCTTTGCTTCTGGAGGCATTTCTTCTGGTTCACTCTAGTTAAAAAGAAAGAACATGGATATGAGGGCATAGTTAAACATTTTATTCTTCTCTGTTGAACATTCAGAAGCCAGACATGAAATGGAACTAACAATCTCTCAGGAAAGTAATAAGTTTTAGAGCACACAGTGCCTCTAGTCTATAAAGCCAAAAATAGGGGTAAAGAAGTTTGCATGTGATAAGTAGATCCACACTATAGAGAAAGACCTTTCAAATTCAGTAAGATGCCAGCAAATATGCAGTACAATTTATCAGCGGCTACCGTTTTGGCCGCATGAGTTAATCACCTTCAACCATTTGCCTTCTAGGGCAGACTTACCCATCATATCATAATGTGTCACAATGACACCCCAGAAGCTGTCTCATGACCTTTTAACATTCTGCAAGTGTAGGACACTAACAAGTGGCAATGCCTCACTAACATCAGGAAAATCTTGGGAGAGGAATGGTACTGCTGTCAACCCTAAGGACTTCTTTCCTGTGTGTTGTCTCTTCTACCTCCACTCTCCCAATTTTCCTTCTTTTTTTCCCCCTTCTCCTTTGTGCTCACAAGGTCTGCAGCAATCACAGCCATTACCACATATCATTCATCCAAGGTTTTTCTAAACCACCCTATTACCAATCGAAGTATTAAACAGGTTATTTAGCATTTCACACATGGAAGAGGGCCCGATGGGAAATGGACTGGCAATTGAAAAGCACTTGTGCAACGTGTGCAGAAATAAACTACTTAGCTTCATTTATCTCTTTACAAGCCAAGCCAACTTTTGTATCCAGCTTTATGTATAAAACAGTATTTTGTGACAGAGAAGCATGGCAGGTGCAACTGAATCAGAAGTGTGGTAGTCAGGCTTATCTATGGTAGTCACTTCTATGGTAGTCACTCAAGCAAAACACTCAAGATATACTAGGATTTGTCTCAAAGGAATGCATGGCCATGGTATAGATCAGTGAAGAACTGTACCATCAAGTACTCTAAATTACCCATCTTTTATTAAACTTAAAATGGAACACATTAAATAAAATATTACGTGTCATTCACTACACTGTAGATCTAGCCCATACCTGAATGTCTCAGCAGTATTTAGATTCAGTACACAACAGGAGGAAGACAATTACATTAAAAACCACAAAAAGAGGGAGTATCTATTTGCCTCTCTCCTCCCTCTCACTCCAAGGAACATTGGCAGCACTTGGTGAGTTACAGAAAACAAATGTTGAGGAGTCAGGAACTCCTGAACAAACAGTCAGCTCTAAAGCAACCACATTGCCCTGTCTGTCTGATTAACTCCATTTTAAAGTCTTAATTTGTGTGACCAATATGCCTGTTCAAATGTATCCCCTACCCCCTCTTCCTTAATACACTATGGAGACCCATTGGTCCTGCTGAGGAATGGAAACTCTTTTTGCATCTCACACTTGCAGTCTTGTGTTTCTGCCAACTCTGCTGAGGCCAAACCTCTCCATGCCCTTTCCCAATTAGCTGAATTGTTTACCACCACATTATTGCACTTCACTGGGGGGAGCATCATTTCTTTTCAGTTACTCTAGCCCCCCATCAAACCCATAGATAGAAAGCAGCACTGAGAATTTGAACTAGTTTCCAGCAGGGCAATCTGGAGATCTGGGCTCAAGTTCCCTAAGTGAAAATGAGATTACTGTTCTCTTTTCTAGTGAAATTTTATTAACATTTCTAATTATCGCATATATTGACCTTTGTCAGTTAACTGCTCATATATTTTTATGTATATGCTTTGCAGCTTGTGTAAAGTGGGGGTGCTTAAGCAGTTGTGGAAAAGCCTTGAAAGAATGTGGATTAATTGGAAAGATTGGTCCTGGAAGGTAACTTATAAAAGTCTGAAGAAAAGACCCCAATTATCAGGAATGGTGCTAACTGGTTTTAGCACAGAGCAGTGTTAAAGTCATGTAGGTTCTGATAATAATTTATCTTTTTAATTACATTATTTAACAATTTCATTGCTAATATCTGCTGTCCAGTGTCAGAGCCAGCCAAGCACCCGAGGTTTAGTCCTGTTGTAAGTATCTGACCAGTGCTTATAACAGCATGTTACTATATGGGTGTGATGATTTCTTAGGTGTGTAAGGCCCATTTGAAGTGTCCCTATAAGCACCATTCAACCTTTAGATTTAATCAAGGAATTTATGGTTGAATTGGTTTTGTGGTGGTAGTCTGTATTACTGATAAAATAAAAAATTCCAACAACATGTTTAAGGGAAACACTGGATCAGTTCTAAATTATAGTGCACTGACATTTTTGTGGAGAAGCTTACAGAGTACCTACTCATACTGCCTAACTCTAACCAGCACTAACTGTTCCCCTCTGTAGTGAGTGCCAGCCATCAAGTGGTATTTACTTACATCATCATCTTCATTGAAAACTGCTGCTACAGAAAGGGTTTTTGGAGCAAGGGTGGGAGCAGGCTCTTTAGGTTTCTGAAATAGATTGAAAACACACCAAAAGAAATCAGACAGGTCTGCTTACTTGACTAGGATCCATTTAACCTTTCAAAAGACTTTTTAAAAATGGAATTCATTAAACATCTTTAAAAAATTACTTCAATTTCAGTGAAGACATGCATAAGTTAATTTCTAACTGGCTAAACTAAAAGTCAAGGTAGTTCTCTGAAGTAGACAGAAAATAGTTTTCCAGTAACAGGACAAGGGAGCATCTGTCCATTTGGGCAAGATGTTTTCTGATGAACTAGTCCGATCCTCCCAGATTTCAATTCCCTACAAGCAAGTATTAGTTTTTTTGCAAACATGCATATTATAGTGGCACGTGGCTACTGGTGCATGACATGGGAAATTAAATCAGAATCTGAGCAGCTTGTGACAACTATGTCTCAAAAATAACACACGCAGGATTGGGCCATATCCCCATCTGTTCTTTATTCTTGAAGCCACACTGGAGTATTTAAGTCTGTCAACTGCAAGAGGCTGAGCATGTGTGTCTTTTTGTACTTTAACAGGTCTTAGAATTCTTCTTGATTGAACAATCAAATGCTTTTTAACTAATGTTTCCAATTCAGAAGCAGAAGGTAACATCAGACTGTTTCATACAGGGGGTCTTTGTTGGAAAAAGCTCAATTTACACTTCCCAGACAGACACCTTCCTCTACTCAAAACATATCCAGCCATCAAAATCTGAGACATTTTTGTACTCTGTATAATGCAAAAGGAATCAAAATTAATGACTCCAAAGAAAAATAAGATGGCAATGTTTAAACTGCTGGTAATAACTTTGATTTACATAGCATCATCCTGCTCTAGTGCACAATGCTTCCTCACTTCTGTAGTATTATGGAGACATTCTGCATACATTTACACTCTGTGGTGATACATACAGCAGTGGGTATTGGGGAGGAACAGGATTCGGCTCAGTGTGTCAATGCAGCCACATCTATTCATTATTCTACCTGTAAGGAACAATTGCTGCTAAGAAGTTTATCTTCCCTAGAGGTATTAACACAGACCACTAGGATAGGCCAGAGGGCAGGGAAAAAATAATGATCCCAAATTTCGATGCAAACGTAGTTGAATCACTGAGCTAGAAATCCTAAGAGCCAATTGAACTTGCTAGTGGCTCAAAAGGCATCTTTCTCAATTTTTCAAGGACTGTGTTTACCTGATTGTGTATGTTCTAAAATGTTTTTTGTTTTGTTTTTCTGATTTGAAAGCAACATGCCCTTAGAAAAACATCCTACTGAGCAATCTTTTGCTGCTGGTTTGTAAAATGCTGACATTGTACCTACAGAGTTCTTGAGGAATAGAGATTGAACTGAACCTATTTAGAGATTTACAATGGACACTTCACTGTGGTATTTGAGAACTGTGTAAGAATTACATTTATAAACAAGCATATGCTTGCCTGTCCCAGAATAGTGAACAATGAAGCAGGTTAGTCAATGGGAAAAGTAAAGATCCATTTGATTGGTAACAAACTGGAAACCTCTTCAACTTAATTTAATACATCCACATAAATCATCAGGAGAAGGAATCATCAAATCTGTCCTGGACAACAGAGGATTAGGATTCTTGGAAACGTAGCATGGCAATGAGGCCCATTTCCTGTACATTCTGCAGATACTGATCTCAGCACGTATTACATTCTAGTATCTTTAAATCAAGCTGCCCAAGAAGCCTAATTTATGCAAACGCCAATTGGCCTTGTGACAGAAGAAGCAAAAATGAAAGATACATTTTCCAATGCAAAAATAATACCTTAGAAGTTAAAGATGACAAAGACTTACTAGTCCACCCAGAGGTGTCAGTGCAAGAGATAGTGCTTCTCCCCCCATCTAGTTATAAGTGTCCTGAGCATTGAAGCTTCCAGCACTGCTTCAGGAAGCTGTTCCAGGCTTAGATCGTAGAGAATTATTTCAGATATTCAAGGACAATTTAGAGTTAATTTTGTCCCATTACTCTTCCTCTCTCTTGGACAACTCTGAACAATTCTCACTGCTGTTATACCCTTAAAATACTTACTAGAACAAAAGGATAGGCCCCACAACACTTCCCCACATGTCAACTTCAATATTTTTAATCAACCTACCCACATTAAGTTTCAAGAAAATACTCTCTCGGTGTTAGGTTTCCTTTAAAAATAAACCAAACATTCAAACAACTTACATTTGCTCCAAGTTTGATGGATATCACAGGTGCCTTCTTTGTTGTCTGACTGCCTATGGCAAATCCAAACTTGGACATTTTGGCAGGAGCAGGCTTTGTGGTGAAATCTTCAGCTTCTTCATCAGCTACCCGTTTCTCTGCACTGCGACTCGAACTTTCCCCTCCATTACTGGAAGAAACAGTCTTAGTTTTCACAGGTTTTTCTGCCTCTTCTTCAGGTCCTGGTGAAGTCGAAACAACTTACCAAGATGAGCTATTTTTACTGAGCAGATTGTTGGGAGCAGCAACCTCATAAAGCATTGTTATGGGGAGGGTACTTACAGTGCCAGCAGTCTCCACCACTGCTGCATATACAGCAGACAGCATGTAAAGACAAACAGTGAAAGAAACTGCAAGCACTTAACTAAAATAGTACAAAAAAAGTCTTTATATATACACAAAAGTCTGAAAAAGCATTGAAGCATCAGATCACTGTTAATATGGGACTGTAAATTTATCTAGACAGTTACATTTAATTTTTTAACAGTCTTCTGGGGTCTAGGTTGCACAAGTTAACATTTCACATTTGGAGTCCCAGTTTCAAACCTAGTGTACACAATTTAAGATTAGACACATTAGATTTATTTACATAAAAAATGCCCATGTTAGTCTATACATAGGCTCCCTTAGCAGATCATTAAAACCATACAAGTAGTTGAGACTGGTAGTCTTAACTTAATTTCTAATCACTCCTTGTCTACATCTCTCAATTCAATATAACTGACTGATTCTGTTTCAGGAGGAAATCAGCACCAGAATCGCTAACTGAAGCAAAGTGCTTTTGAGAAGCTTGTATCACGCCTGGGTTTGCAAACTCATGGGAAATGCCCTTTTCCTGTGAAAATGACCCATCCAGCACAACACTCCCATCAAACCTGTGCTCATATACAGAGCTCCCTCAGCCACACCAAGTGAAAAAAATGGTACTCGGAAGTTTCACTATGCTCCTGGAGTTGGTGGAACAGTACACACATGGGCACAGCTTGCTCCTCTGCTGCCACAAAAGCAGGAAGAAGAGAAAAAACCGATGGAGAATGGACAGAAAAGGAGGGAGTTCACATCAGTGGTCTGAGGACAATATTACCACGTTTGGGACCCAACTACGTCCCTTGCTAAGAGGGAAAGCAGGGGATGGGAGCACCACACAGGCAGCAAATTCAGACCTTAAGTGAAGGGTCTGCTTTGCACTGCCCACTAGCAACTGTCAGCAACCATGTGGAAAAAACAGCAGTTCAAAACTGGGGATGATTACCAAGATTGTAGCCTTAGGGCAAAGAAACAAAATCCAGAGAAACAGAGGGGCTAGAGAAACAGGGAAATCTGTGAAAGGGGAAGTCATACTCTGTTTTAGCATAATAGAAGTCTTTAAATACATATTTAAATCTTAAATATGATGCCTCCATAATACAGCACCACTATTTTTCCTAAGTATGGATGCATGGTGCCCTCTCTACCCATCCCCATCCTCAATCTATAGTAACTTCATTTAACATTGTAGTTATGTTCCTGAAAAATGAGACTTTAAGAGAAACAATGTTAAGTAAATCCAATTTCCCCATAAGAATTAATGTAAATGGGGGGGTTTCGGTTCCAGGGAAATATTTTTCACCAGACAAATAAATATACACACACACACCCAGTATAAGTTATAAACAAACAATTTAATACTATACACAGCAATGATGATTGTGAAGCTTGGCTGAGGTGGTCAAGTCAGAGGGTGGGATATTTCCCAGGGAATGCCTTACTGCTAAATGATGAACTTACACTCGGCTGAACCCTCAAGGGTTAACACATTGTTGTTAATGTAGCCTCACATTCTACAAGGCAGAACAAATGGAGGGAGGGGAGACAGCATGGCAGACAGAGACACACACTGTGTGTGTGTGTGTGTGTGTGTGTGTGTGAGAGACACACAGACAGACAGGCACACATTGCCCTTTTAATTACATTGACTTTTAAAGTAGCTCAGCAAGTTAGGACCGCAGCTGCTCCCAGCAAGCTCTCTCCGTCCTGAGCCCTGTCATGTCATGTCCCCCCGCTTACCCCATCTCTATAGAGTGGGACGGAGGACGGGACAGGAGCAGGGAGAAACCTTGACATTACCGCCGCCCCCCCCCCCCCGCTCAGCAAGCAGGAGGCTCCCTGGAGCAGCTCCAAGGCAGAGGGCAGGAGCAGCATATGGCAGTGGGGGGAGGGACAGCTGAACTGCCTGGCACTTGATAGCCTACTGGGCGCTGCGGCACAGGGAACTTAGAGGAGCGGGAAATTGATAGGGTGGCTGCTGGTCCACCCTGGTTCCAAGCCCCCACCAGCTTGCTGCAATGGGCTGCTCTTTCTGCAAGCAGTAGACAAAGCAGGCAGCTGCCAAATAACATTATAAGGGAGCATTGCACAACTTTAAACGAGCATGTTCTCTAATTAATCAGCAACGTAACAACAAAACAACGTTAACCGGGACGATTTTAAGGGAGGAGTTACTGTACCTATAATTTCCTGCCATGCTTTCCAAGTCATACAAACTGCCTGTCCATGATGTTTCTTGACTGGGGAGCAAAATATATTGTTAACTCACTGTTTCAGTCAGCAAAACAACAATAACTAGATGCAACCAACTTAGAACAGTTATTTTACCCTTGGGAGCATAATAGACAGTGAAACTGACTAGGAGCTCAATGGTAATTAGTTTCACTATCCATGAGCAATGCAAGTTTGTGCTGCTACCCAGCTTGACTTAGGAAGAGAGAAATAAAAGTGGGGGTAAGGAAAGAAAGTTACGGACAAGTGAGACAGAATCAAGAGGAAGAAGGAGACATGAAAAAGTTAATTAGGAACAGCAATGTTCCTAGTTCTAATGCTAGTAATTCCATCTGACACTTCTGAATGCACATTACAGAGCAATTTTTCTAAGTGTACCTTAAAGTAGCTCTAAGTGCAAGACTAGTCTTTCATGTAATCATCCAAAGTTTTAATTCCTAACTTTAGAAAATGGTAGTTTAGGATAGGGCATATTTAATCCAAAATGTTTCAGGCAGAGAAACATCACTGTACTTGGAATATGTTGTCTTGCCAATGGAACATAAAAAACCCTTTCTTAAAATGCTGAAAGATATATTTCTCTAATGATGATCACAGCAACAAGAATATCTTGTCACAAAGTTTACTATACAGCCCCACTGTCTAATTAAGCTTAAGTTCAATCAGTAAAGTGTGGAAGTTCAGAAGCCAGTTTTAGCAACTACACTCAGAGGTCCAAACTGGAAGGAAGGGAAGGCCTGGGAATCTCAAAATGTAAATTCAAAAATGGGTTATTCTGAGAGAAAACCCTTGCTGGCTTGCAGGCTAGGGAATCACCAAGAGAAGGAATGAGTGTAATGAGCCAACAGGATTTTATATTATTGCTTTTTTTTTAAAAAAAAAAAAACAAAAAAAAACACAACATTTTCCCAGTCAGCAGTCTGGCCAACTCATTCTCTACTTTGTGGTATTTTATTTTCTTCTCTTTCATTCCACATTTTAGAATTTTTTCTTGCTTTATCTGAAGGAACAGAAACTGAGGAAGTGTGTTTATTGACAAGCAGCTTGTAAATTTTGACTACAAGAGCAAAACAGAGTGATGTGTGTATGCATGGAAGAGTCTGAGGAATAACTGAAGAGTGATTATGCAGATCAGACACCCTCAATAAGAGGGCTGGGAAGTACACAACTAAGAAAAAAAATGTAGTTATGCATCAGTAAGTATAACATGCTTGCACTCAGACTGGCTAAGAACTGAATTTCTGGCAATTATGTATTTGAATTGATAATGCAGTATTTAAGTAGTTGGCCAAAGCTGGATTATAGTTTTATTAATATTTCAAGATTAGCCAAAAATTAATTACCTAAACTGGAAGTTTAGACAAGACTGACAAGTCTTCTCTGAATCTATTCCTGGAACAGTACAGATTGTTCGTTGGCAAGGAAATTACAAGTGAACTGGAATCTCAATCATTTCAAGAGACCCTCTCACAGGTGCCCATATGTAACAAGTTTCAGGTAACTGATAAATGGGGCAAGCAGAGATGGGTTTAGAGCTTAGTTCCTGTTCTAAAATTGTGTGCACCAATCTTTGTTAAGAATGTAGGACTTGATTCTACTGAAAATCTTGCAGAAATCAGATGAGCTTGCATAACCATGCAAAGTAATCAATTTCCGAAGAGATGCAGCAATATGTGCTGAATATCAGAGGAACAAGACAAAGCCCTTTATGTAAGTGCTGCACTAAAATTCTATATGCAGTAAGGTTAGACAATAAACGGATCCCAAGGTTAGAACCACTATAACATTACACACGTTATGCATAACATTAGTATTGAATAGGAAAAGTGTATGATGATGATTTTCAAGACTTTAAAGCCACTTGTGTGTCCCCCACATTCTCCTATTCTCTCTCCCACCCTTCTCTTTCTGAAGATCACTAGCCTCTATCACCACCATTCTTTGTGCCTCTCACGCCCCGCCACTCTGAGCTAAGCAAGATTATATTTTTATAGAAATTAACGTTCTTCCTATAGAAGCCCCAATGTATTGCATTTTTTAAGTCTTTCTTCTGCAAGAATTTCTAAGCACTTCTCTATTAAGCCATAGGGAGCCAAATGATGTATTTTAAGGCTAGATTTAAACCTTTCTAGAGCTCCAAACACTATAAGAAGGAAGTACAGTACAGAGACAGGGGAAGCTCTTAGTAGGAACATGTTTCATCAGTGTATCAGTTATGCCTTTCTAGAGTATGATTTTTACAAAGGGAGATGAGCTTACTCATTCAGAAAGGGCAAAAAAAAAAAGAGACTCTACCCAGACCAGACATTTGCCTTTATGGAACAACTAAATCATTATCTTTAAAAAACATTAATGGCAAACCTGGAATACTGATAACTAAAAGCTGAACTCTAACTACTGCACTCAAGGAGCAGATGAGTCTTGTCCTCTTTTTACTTTCAACAATTGAGTCTTCTCTTTCCCAGAATTGGCTTCCAGGACAGCCTGTGGAGGTGGTGTGAACATAGCTACATTTAAGACCAGTAGCGGAGTGCTAGCAGCAAAAGTTTCCCTACAGAAACTTCACTTGCCTGATAAGCTGCAAAATGTTTAAAGCGGCCCAGTGAAAATTTCCCTTAAGTACTCTGTTTCTGTAGGTAATAAGAAATCTAGATACTAGTCTTCTCGTTGCAAAGCTGTTCTTGAATTAGGTTTACCAACTGTTCTCAAGTGGAATTTTTTAGCCTCTCTCTAAGCCCCACAGTGCATTTGGGTTTTTGTGCTTTCATATTCTTTTTTCTAATGTCAACCAGATCATATTCCACCTCTCTTTTCTACCTCCCATAAGCATCACTGCTATTTTCATAACTACCCAGACCTGTGCTCTGTATTTAGGTCATAGCTAGATGGAGGAGCGTTGCTTCAAGGAAGAACTACTCACTTGCAAGTCAACAAGGACATATAAGTGAGCAGTTTTCACTCTCTTTTCTGTGTAGGTTGTGCATCTGATAAACAGGACTGGCAACGATGCTAATTTTATAGCTTCTCAAGTTTCTGCATTGCTCATTCAATAGATCTCTTGCCTCTGGGCAAGGTTGAGAGTTCCGGACCCCAGTGTAGGACTATTAAGAGTCACATCAGAACAAGAGCACTTCCCACCTATGTTCATTTTGGAAAGCCTTCAGCAACTCAGGAAAAAATTCAAGATTTCACATCAGTTTCTAAACAGCAAGGAATAACTCCAGTGTCTTGGCCAACCTTCCACTTTAATTAAAATAATGTTCTACTGTCCACGGTTGTGTGTGGGCCACTGAAGACTGCATGTCTGCAAAACGAGTCAGTCACTGAATTACTAGCATCTAATTTACTGTTTCCTACAGCACTGAGGTTTAAGGAGCTACACAAAACCAAATGTTTTTGTACAGATAAGTAACTGTATAGAGGACTAAAATGACACTACTTATGTGCCTATCTGAAGATATTCTCACTTGTCAAGCCTGTTTTAATTAGTTTAAAGCCTTCATTTAATTGCTAGAGAGTGGCCCCATCTGAAGTCCCAATGAGTTATGTTTAAACCAAAAAGGGGGAAAGGGTCAGCCTTTGGCTTGGCAAATATACCATTACCGCCAGGTGGAAGATGAGGGGGGAAAAACATTCAGTTTTCCAAGACAATGGACAATAAATGATATGCTGGTAGATTCTAATAGCAGACTCAAACAACATTAACCTCATTTTCACTTTATATACACAAAAAGATCTTGTAAACTGCTACCAAAAGAGTATAATGTTTGAAGTAGTGTGTAAGGAAAATTATAGTTTACTGAGAACTGTAGAGGCACCATATAACCATAAAATAAGCTGAACCTTAAGAGGTAGAGGTATTGTAGATCCTTTGGAGCTACGATATACATTATTTCTCTCAATATTTGGTAGAGCTACTCATTGGGCAGTTTGGTAACAAAATATTTGTATTTGTTTATGCAAATTAATCTACTGGATACCTTAACTTAAAAAAAAATAAGAATCAGGGAATATGACAAAAAAATTGACATCCCTGGACAATACTAAGCCCAATCCCGCAGTCTTCATCCAGGCAAGATCCCCACTGAACGACAGGAGCTTTACCCAACTAAGCACTGCAGGATCAAGTCCTCTAACTTTAAAGATCAAGTTTAACTACTCGGTACAATCCAGTAAGAGTGGACCACACCGAGTTAATGACTAGACTGCCATTTTTCCTCTGATTCAAGTAGCCAAAAAACCCCCCCAAAACCTATGCCATGAGACATAACTTCAAAGATGTGGGTAGCAAATTTACTGAGATCAAGCTCTCTATCAGGCTGGTCTAGTGGTCTCAAGGCATCACAGGAAGACAACCCCTCTCCCTGGTGCCCCTCCCCAGCATAGGTGCTGGAACTAAGGGTGCGGGTGGGAAATGGTTCCTGTCACATACAGGGTTTACAGTGCGGTTCAATAGCTCTCAGCACCCCCGCTGCACAATTTATCCCTGCTTCCCAGCCGTACAGCTCCAGGCCTGAGCAGGTCGGTCCCGGTCAGCGCAGGTGACACCCCCACGCTCCTGCGGCCAGCGACCGCCGAGCCCGGGCCCCGCATTTCCCTCGCTAGGCATGAAGCCATCCAGCCAGGGCGGGCCGGTGACTCACCCCAAGCGGCCAACCGCCCGCGGGCCGCACTGAAGCCACCCGGAGCCAGACACGGCTCCCTGGCTCCGCAGCTGGGCAGGCGGCCGGACTCTGAGCAGCCGGAGACCGCGCCCCGGGCCCCCCCCGCCTAGGCCCTTCCCCGCCTCCCCAGAGGACCCCGCCCGGGTCCCCTCCCCTTGCCCGCCCTCGGGTCCCCCATGCGCGGGGAAGGGGGGATATGGGGTGAGCGGCGCTGCGTGTTCACCTCCGTCTGCCTGCGGCTGCGTCGGCTTCTCCTCTCCCGCTTTGCTGTCCGCCATTTTCCCCCACCGCCTCCCCCCGGCTCCTGAGCATGCGCGTTAGCCTGCTTTAGTTCTCCCGCTCCCTCCCTGCCATACAGGAGAGGCGGCGGCCGCAGAACCTAGAGAAAGAACTCGCCCCCCTGTGGCTAGAAGTGACGAAGCCGGAAACGGTCAGCGCGTCACATGTCTCAGGGCAGCGGCGCTTCCGCTTATGCAGCCAGACGCTCCTCGACGCAGGGCAAGCTGACTTCCGCTGCGTATGTGACCGCCGCAGAGGAACGCAGAAAGCAATAAGCCGCTCTCTGATTGGTCAGGAGGAATGGCTCCGTCCTAACCAATCAGGGTGCCACTTGGGCATGGTTGGTGATGAGCACTGGAGATGTAAAGGGCCAGGAGAGGAGGTAATCTCTCATCCCCCTTAACATAGGTTTTTCTGCCCCAGTGGGCTGGGAGGTGGGGGACAGACAGAGAGCGGCACACACGGTGCCCCACATAATGGCAGGACAATGTGGAGCGAATACACGTCATATGAGAGCCTCGCTGCTGCACCATCAGCCCTCCATTCCAGGCTGATCTCTACCACAGATTTGCATGTGGGTCCGTTCCTGGACCCACAGATCCGCCTGCACTTGGTACAGACACAGGTCAGGCCGGGCCTGGCCGCCACTGCTCCAGAGTGAGCTGACCCAAAGCCCAGTGACGTCAGTGGACAGACCATGGGTTTGAGATCAGGCCCACCATCTGATGGTGAACCTCTGAGCCCTGAGAGAGGAGAGTCCTTTTGCTCAGACAGACAGGAACAGCTCACAGCTTTGAAAACAGAAGTCCCAGGTTCAGTCTCTGCTACCAATGACACGGCCAGGAGCATGCTGTTACAAGGGATTGCAAACAGGAAGAACTGAACTACTGTTGGTTTCAGAGTAACAGCCGTGTTAGTCTGTATTCGCAAAAAGAAAAGGAGGACTTGTGGCACCTTAGCGACTAACCAATTTATTTGAGCATAAGCTTTCGGTGTGAGCTACAGCTCACTTCATCGGATGCATACTGTGGAAAATACAGAAGATGTTTTTATATACACAGACCATGAAAAAATGGGTGTTTATCACTACAAAAGGTTTTCTCTCCTCCCACCCCATTCTCCTGCTGGTAATAGCTTATCTAAAGTGATCGCTCTCCTTACAATGTGTATGATAATCAAGGTGGGCCTATTGTTGGGTGTTGTAGCTACATTGATCCCAGGATATTACAGAGACAATCTTCATATTACCTCATAGAATCTCAGGGTTGGACGGGGCCTCAGGAGGTCATCTAGTCCAACCCCCTGCTCAAAGCAGAGCCAATCCCCAATTTTTGCCCCAGATCCCTAAATGGCCCCCTCAAGGATTGAACTCACAACCGTGGGTTTAGCAGGCCAATGCTCATCCACCTTGCCTCTCTATGAATCTGTGACGCTTGGGACAAGCTTCCCTGTCCCCACTCCGTCCAGACCCCACTGCTGGTGGCTGACCCACATATACAGTTTCATGAGCTGGCTGACAACTGAATCTTTTAGCTTAGGCAGAAGGTCCACAATCCTGAGGTCCCAGATTTAATCCCTGATGATGATGTCGTAGGGCCAGGTGAAGCATTTCTGCTTGTATATATTCTATTCCTGTTTTCATTTTTAAATGTAGAGCTAAACTAAAAGGACTATCACTTTCAAATCTAGTCAGTTTTAAGAGCTTTAAAAACTAGTTTGTGGTTCTACACTTAGCCTAATCACTCCACCAATTTTTATGGTTTTAATCTATTTTTTAAAAGTGGTTTTCTTTCCTGTTACTGTATAAAAGCAAGGGAATAGATAATAGTAAAGGTGAGGTTGATTGTACATCAAGTGCTCTCCTGCACACAGTAAACTCACTGAAAACAAAATAAAGTTATTGTAAAAGATGAATCAAATAATCTTACATTATTTGTAAAAATACACTTTTAGCTACAAGTGCATTTAAGTTGATGTTTGCAGTATTGTAGCTGTGTTGATCACAGGATATTAAGGAGACAAGGTAGGTGAGGTATCTTTTATTGGACCCACTTCTTGTTGGTGAAAGAGACAAGCTTTCAAGTTTACACATGGCTCTTCTGGAAAGGGTGGGGGTGTAAATTTGAAAGGATTTAAAAAAGGGTTTCCCATTGCTCTCTGGCCCAATGACTGTTCTGCTGTGGATAAATACTTAGTTCTTGGGCCAGGGAGAAAAAGAGAATAACTGTGTAGTCCAGTGATGAAGGTACCCATGTTGGAAACCCTAGGGCATCCCCCTGCTCTAATCACTCATTATTTATTCAGAGTGCAATAGGTTCAATAGGAGAGATTGAGGGCACCCCACATCTGAATATCCCATTGCTCAGTTATTAAGAGTACCCTCCTGTACAAATACTTTCTCTCCTGCTGGCAGAGGTGGGGAAATGAAGCTAGGTTTCTCACATCCCAGGTGAGTGATTTACCTACTGGGTAGACCTCCGCCAGCCCTTTTATGTGGGGCAAGTCATGTGCCTAACTCATTCCCTCAAGAAGCAGTTTAGGTGCCTCTACCAGATACCTGCAGGATTTGTTTGTGAATTGCTAAACTGACATAGGCACCTCTCTCAGAGAGGGGTGGGGCTTAGCATACATCTAGTCTGCATCTCCCACTGGCTAGATTAGCAAAAAGAAAAGGAGTACTTGTGGCACCTTAGAGACTAACCAATTTATTTGAGCATGAGCTTTCGTGAGCTACGGCTGTTTCTCTGAAACCTGGCTAGATTAGGTAACACCTCCCTTAGCCTGTTGCCGAGTGCACTTTTAGGTCTCTCTCTCTCTCTCCCGCTTCATTGTATAAGGCCTAGATACTCAATTTAGCTTTGGGGATTACAGCATTATTCTTGTGATTTTCTAGATGGCTAAGATGGGCACCATGATGCTCAGTATTGCAACACTTATTACCCTTCATAGATTCCACCCCCAGTAGCTTCTCATAAGGAAGACAGATTCTCATTTGTATTTTTAAAGATGCAGGAACCAATGAACTGTTAGAGTCTTTTGATCAGCAATATTTTTTTCAGTCACATCTAGGAAGATATCCTGTTTGAAATATGAAGGTAAACAGGCTTGACATTTACTTTTCAGCTTGTTCCTGTGTAAAAAGTCTAATCGGGCCCCCCTTAAAGTCATAACATTTCTGTTTAAAATTTTTGTAGGTAAGACAGGGAAATTGTCCCATTTTCACTGCTCTTGGGCAGAGGGTAATTGGAACTGTGACATGTAAAGGCTTTTTCAAAGGTAGGAAAAAACCCTAATCTGCAACTTGAACAGTCATTTTCACCTAAATCAGTGATTTAAACTTCATGCATAACTGAGAAGTGTTGTGTATTTTCAGTACAGAACTGCCACATGAAAAGAGACTCTCTGCCCCTAGGGGTATTACTAGTACCCGTGTTTATTATTTTCAAAAGCTGTAGAGGAATGGAAAACCCTACATGATAAAAAGGGACAAAAATGCATATATTTTTTAAAAAGAAGTCGTTCACAGGTCCACCTCGCTTTCTTCCACAAGGTGAGCGAATTTTAGAACCGCAGGTCAGATTGTTTTATGTTTACATTCACAAGGCATCACATCAGATACTAAAATACTTTGAATGAATAAATGATGCATCATCATCATGAGATCTTTCTAAAACACCATGGAGCAAACTCCCTACTCGCCCCCCGCCCCCCCAAAAAAACAAACAAAACAAAAAACACCCTCAGAAAACAAAACCACAACTTATTCACTGGGGTAAGAGCCAGTGGGCAAATCAGCTACATTCTAAGATCAGCATTCAAGACATTATTAGTGTTGTAAACGAATAGAAAGGCTAAGGTCTGCAAATATTTACTAAGGCATTTGTAGTACATCCACTAGATTAATAGTATCCAGCTAGCCTCTTACAGTGTCTATATTTACCATATTTCAGTCCATGAACTAATCAACCACATTACAGCATTTGGTGTTAAACAAGTAAGGGTTTAAATGAAGTTATATCCACCACAGTTTTATTCAATTTAATTACATTCTTTCTTATGGTGCAATTTGTAGATTTGATCATCACAGCTTTTCCTCATGGATTTTTTTTTGGGGGGGGGGATGGGGAGGGAACAAGCCTGTTAAGCTTCTGTTTAAATAACTGCAATACAAAGGTTATAAAAAACCCATATCAGACAGCAGTTCTAGTTACTCTTTTACCCTTCAGTTTTTTTCATCAAATTCCCACAGAAGTCAATGGAAATTTAAGCCTATTAACAGTATAGTTTGCCCTTAAGATTCTTCAGCTATCCACCATTTTTTCTGTGTTTGCTTCCTGAAGGAATTCTCTACAAAGGGCTTCTTTACTTTTTCCTGACTATTGCTAAATTCAAACACCTTTGTTCTTCTCCCTGTATCAGTTTTATGCTTTGAATAGAAGGATGTATCTACAAAAGCTTCATATTTTCTTTTTGGAACGAATTTCAGCGCCTCCAGCCAATCTCCAGTATCTTTTAAAGTTAATAAAATACGAATCATTTGGTCCAATGTGAGATTTTTGGCACCAGTTTCCCACTTCAAGTACCTCTCCAGTGGAAGACGTTCAGTTGTTAATTTCAAGCGTTTTGCATGTGCAAGAGAGATTCCAGTCTGTATATTCCTGTCAACCATTGATCCAACTATATAAATTTTATCATGCTCAAACTTCTTCATTACATTGGGAGAGTCAGCAGTTAAGTAGATGAGCTTGTCGCTTGGAAAGACATCTGTGTGAGACTGTTCTGTCACAGTCACAAGTAAATTGTCCCATGCCTCTCCATAGCGCTTGACAAATTCTTTATGATATGGGCCATCTACTTTGACATTACAGAAATGTAAGTGAAAAGGATCCACAGCTCTTCGATTCCAACCTTCGGTCTCCATTAGCTGATTCACTGTGTTCTCCATTTCTCTACGTGACATGTAATTTTCGTAAGCCATGTCAAATACTAGAGGCTGGCCAAAGATCATAGCCTGAGCAGTCCTCCAGTTATACATCTTATCCATAGACTTGGACCAAAACTGTAATAAGAAAGTATTCTTCAGCTCACCAGTATCATTTTTTTTAGCCTTTTCCAGCCTTTCCCTCTTTGCTTCCTTTTGCTTTTCCTGCTTTACTTTATTAGCTTTCTTCACTTTTTCTTTGACAGCTAAGTATCTTAAATACTTCTTTTTGGATGACTTAGTGGAACATTCCATAAGGGTCTTTATCTCTTCTTCACTGATATTTTCTGGAACAGTTTTGCCAGCTAGCCTCCACATCTCCACAAGTTCCCTTGTGGCAGCTAAAGTAGAATCTTCCTCACTCTCAGATGCCTCACCGACTTCCTCTTGCATTCCAGATCTCATGACATTTTTCCACCCATCCAAATCTAGCTTCTCAGTGGGGCTGGATGAAATCTGCTTCTTCAGGGCAGGAGACAAAATCAGTGTTCTACATGGAAATGACCTCTGGGGAGTTGTTAAAAACAAATCTTTTTTTGACCCATTCTGCATAGCAAACGGAAAAACCGAACGTCTCACAATGCTTCTGAGAAGCATATTAAAAAACTTCATATTTAGGAGAGTGTTGTATCCAAGCAGTTATCTGCAAAAATGGTAACAAGACAAAAGAAAAACAAAATTAGTAGTCACAGATGTGAGAAAAACTCAATCTACTTCTAACTTTAACTCCTCAGATGAACAGGAAGTTACTTCTTAGCACTTGATATCAATATTCTAATTAGACTTTTACTTTTTTACTGTCTCTAAAAGAAAATAAAGTTGATGTTGCTACTAGAGGAAACAGCAGTTAGCACTGTTGCTTAAATCAGCTGTGTATAATTCCAGGTCAAGTCAAACAATACTTAAATATGTTTCAACCCTCCCACTTCAATCACTCTTGTATGTCATTTGTAGATAGGAAGCTTTGTGATGGAAGCATGCCACTGCACACAGATGCCATGAATGCTTTCATAGGTGCAGACCACAGAAGCACAATTCATTCTACTTGTGGTGTGACAATGTGGGTGAGGATTTCTTTTTGAGTAGTTTTTCCAGAAAATTTTCACATCCCTAATGCTTATCTCTTTGAAATGTAACAGTAAAGTAGGGAAGTGCCCGTGGCAAACTCCTGCAGGCTTATGGGTTTAACTTTATGCTGCCACTAAAGCTAATGGGACTACTCACAATATGTAAAGTTATGCATGTGAATAAATCTAAGCCTAAAGTACCAATCCTGTAAACACTAAAGCACATATATAGCTTTACTCATATGAGTAGTCCCATTAATTTCAACAGGACTCATCACACAAAGTTAAGCAAACAAGATTAAGTGTTTGCAGAACTGGGCCTAAAACAGAACTAACTAAGCTGTTTTTTCATATCCTTTTCTCTCCATGGCCAACCCTAAGTAGAGCCAATGAACAAATTACAGAGTTCAATTTAAAAATATGAAACAAATTAAAGGCAAAAATAAGTTACACATTAAAAAAAACTTTGTATGCTATAATCTTAATTTACTATACCACCTGAAACTTAAAAAAAGTGTCCTTATTTGAAAAAGGACAAGTTAAATCTTTTTTTTTTAAATTAAAGAAACTAAAGTATAAACAGGAAACAGATTATTAAAACAAAATATTCTGTAAATATGCCATTGTTTTGAGATGCTATGACTGCAGTGAAAGTTGACTAATATAATGAAAGAGATGGACAACTGCAATAAAATTGTTAATATGAATTATCAACATTGAAACAAGAAACAGTACAATTTACAGGATAGTAAAATAAAAAGGATTCATTCTGTGGAACAGGACAAAAAAACCACTGAGACTTTAACAAATTATATACTTCAAATATGACATTAAGGTACTAAAATCAAAAATGCACATGAGAGAATGTGCATAAAGGAAAAACATATGGGGCCCAGCCTCAGGTAATCTAATGTGGCATAGCTCCAATGAAGTAAATGGATCTGTGCTGATTTAAATCAAATAAGGATTTGACCCAAGTTTTCCAATAAAGCCACGTTACTGCTAGACTTGTCCAAGACTGAGTGTATTTGCTACTGGTTCATTTTTGCTGAAAGCTCTAAAAATCCCTTTAGAAGAACCTGGGTATGGAACACAGAAAAACACGTTATTTGGTATTTATAAAACACAGGAAACACACCCCTCTTTTAAACACAGTTTTAGTGCTAGGTCTCTCAGAGCTAAACTGTCTTAGTTGAACAAATAATTCTGCTATGTCTTCCATAACAGAGATACAGAAACTCATGCTGTAAGCAGGTGATCATTTGAGTTAAAGAACTTACTTGTCCCTTCTACTGAAAGCTGCAGGAGGGGATGCTTTTGAAACGATCTTAAAATTAACCCATAATGCTTAGCCATTACAAATACATTTGACATTTCAAAGCACTTTTCATACATTATCGTTCAGTCTTTAGCGAACATTATTATCCCTACTGCACAGACGGGTGGGTGGCGTGCACGCACACGGGGCTCAGTGATCCACACAGGGGCTTCCCCCGCCCCACGCGTGACACCGGGCCCGGTATCAGGAGCAGCGGCCGAGAGGCCTGGTCGGTGTCTGCCCTCTCCGCACTACCATGGCCCGGGGCTTCCACCCCGGCGGCGCCAGCGGACCCCAATGGAACGGGGCCTCCCGCTGCGGGACCCTGGGGAGCCAGGGCCCCCCTCTCCCCGGGGCGGCTCCAGCTGTGCTGGAAACTCGGCGCCCTGTGCCCGCCCCCGGACACGCACCTGCAAGAGCACCAGTCCCCACGTGCCTCTCGCTCCGACCTATCCAGTCCCACCTCGAGAACCCTCCGACGCGCCGCGCTTCCACTTCCAGCCGGAGGGTTCTCGGGTGTGGGACCCACCTCCCCCTCACTCGGAAGGGAAAAAAGCTCCAGCAGCCACGCCGCTGGGTTGGCCTGCTTTCCAGCTGCTCTGATTGGCTTTGGTTTGTAGCCAATCATAGGGTAGGATCTGCGCTTGCGCGCTGAGTGGTTCTGTCCGATAGACGGGCCTGGCGGTGCGATCGTTGGGTCCGATGTCTCCATTTTTCTTCAGGTGCGCGGTGTCTGCCCGTCCTGGTCCTCGGGGTTCTGCAGCTGGAACTCTAGGTTCCTACCTTCCCCCAGGGTCCTACTGCGCTTCCTGCCTCCGGGGTTCTGCGGCAGGGCAGGGGGCAGCTGGAGGCCGGGGCAGGTTCCAGGGCTCATACTGGGGCGAGACGGGGGAGCCCAGTGGTAGCGGGGGAGGGGCAGCAGTTTGCAATGGCATAGAGCGGCCAGAAGAAATCAGTGTGATTGAGGGAGGCTGCAGATGAAGGGGCCTCATGTCCCAAGGTGGGGAAGGGTGTGTCAGTATCAGATCCGCTTTCTATGGCTCCCAGGAGCCCCAGGCTCCTCGCCTCAAAAGGCTTCATGCTCCACAGGACAGTGGACACAATCCTTTTCTCTGCGGTGTGTGCCGCTGGGATATCAGTCCATCTGTTGCTCGGTACCACAACGACATTGGCAACTTGGAAGGAGTTCAGAGCAGGGTAGCAGAAATTATGTGGAAAGCCTGACAGGAGGAAGAGTTTAAAGGAGCAAAATATTAGAGCTTCGACAGATGAAGACTAGGGAGGAGGTTGAAGAAGATGCAATAACAGTAAAGAAATATTGACCGGTGTAAACATCTGTGATGTAGAGGAATTACGTAGTGTGGTATATGAGGATATAATAATGGGATAAATAAAGAAAAAGAAACTTCAAGCTGATTATCTGGGGAAATAACTTCCTGAGAGTGAACTGTACTGTGGTGTAGCACAGTCTCCCAAAGGAAGTGATTGCAACTCCTTTGCATAAATTATTTTAGACTAGACAAAGTGCGAGAAAATTTGCTGAAGGAGGCAGTCCTTCTTTGGCAGGGAGATGTACTGAGTGATCTAATAGGTCTCTCTTACATCTCAAACATATTTTATTTGGTTGCTGGTACAGCTGAGGGGTCTCAATCTGGTGAAAGTTGACAGCCTCCCATAAAGATTGGGAACCACTGATTTAGGCTATGCATGTAAAGTGCACATAGGGTGACCAGATAGCAAGGGTGAAAAATTGGGATGCTTTTTTGGGGGTGGAGGTGGTAATAGTTGTCTGTATAAGACATAGCCCCTAATATCGGGACATCTGGTCACCCTAAGTGGACATGCTGTGGCATAGAAGATTTCGTTTTGTGAGTGCATCGTATCTTATATTTACTGCCAACAATGTATATTCTTCAACAGGTCTTCTGTTATATCCTTCCAGACCTTTTGATATAACTGAACTAACTAGATAGAACTGCAGTAGCCAGACAACCTAGTGTTTGTACAAAATGTAAATTGATAGCTCCCCCTTGTCTTTAGGGACCTGCTTTTTCTCCAGCTGCTCACAACACTATCCTTTTTCTCCTCTCACATCTTTATATCCCATATATCACCTTCTTTGCCAATAGTCCCATATTTAAATAATTCACACAGCCTTTTTTAAACGTTGTTTTTAAAACTGATTTTCTTTAAATCTGTGTGCAACTCTCTCTGAAGCCCATGATATAATAGACAGGTATGTAAGTAAGCTGGTCTTTCATTTGAAGAAAGCTGCACTGTGTAGTAATATTTAATTTTTAGTGTTTGGAGCAGTATTTTCTCTCTTTCCCCTTAAAAAAAGAAATCCTAATAGATTAGACTGCTTTAAGCAAACACTTAAAGCCCATTGTCATTGTCTAATCAACTACTTTTTTGTGTGTGGTAGGGAGGCAGGTTTACCAATTTTGACAGTGTCTCTTTTAATAATTAGATACAGTGTTTGATGTCTGGAGCCATTTTCAATCAAGATGAGTTTCCTGCTGCCCAAACTGACCAATAAAAAGGAAGTGGATCAGGCAATAAAAAGTGTAGCGGAGAAAGTTTTGGTTCTTCGATTTGGGAAAGATGATGATCCTGTTTGTCTTCAATTGGATGATACTGTAAGAGCAATTTTTAAAAACCTTTTATTGATGCTATGCCAATCATTACATACACATTTGGTGCAATAGAATGAAATGACATGATACTATCAAATAATATAGAAGGAGCCAAATTACAATTAAGTTATTAGTGCACTGGGAATGAAATGTAAAGTGGAGTAATTAGAGAATACTTCACTCCCTTCCTAAGAGTGTGGTGAAAATTAATCATAGTTAGGGCTCCATGTCTGTCACAGAGGTCATGGATTCCATGACTTTCCACAACCTCCGTGACTTCTGCAGGGGCCAGTGTAGTTGACCCCGGGGACAGCTACTGGAGTGGCCGCAGGACAGCAACAGCAGCCACTGTTCCACCCCCAGGCAGCAGTTCCCAGCCACCTGGAGCAGCCACGGCCCTGGGTAGCAGTCCTTGGCTGGCCAGCTGGAGCAGCTGCAGTCCCCGGCCCTGGGCAGTGGTTCCCAGCCGGCCAGAGCAGCTGCAGTCCTGGGCAGAGGTCCCCAGCCAGCTCGCCGGAGTGTCCACGATCGCGGGCAGCAGTCCCCGGACAGCCAGCTGGAGTAGCTGCAGTCTGGCCCCTGGCAGCTGGAGCCGCTGGCCCCAGGCACCCTCTCCAGCAGCAGCAAACCCCCTCTCCCTGTCCCCCCACCACACAGTGCGCCCCTCCCCCATTTAAACACAGGTATTTTTAGTATAAGTCATGGACAGGTAACACACAGGCTGTGAATTTTTGTTTATTGCCTGTGACCTGTCCATGACTTACTAAAAATACCCGTGACTAAATCATTGCCTTAATCATTGTTTGCAAAGCACTTTGAAACTGAAAAGTGCTATATAAACTTTACTTTATAGCATTTGCATATAGTACAATTAGGGGTGCAAGGCACCTCACAGAGAGAATAAAGACATGGAGTGATATCCTTGCCCTTCTGAAGTCAGTGGGAGTTTTGCCATTGACTTCAGTGGAGCCAGGATTTCATCCGGATTCTTTCACCTAAGCAGTTAGACTACACAGTAATAAAAACAGCTGTACCCTTTCTACAATACAGCTTCCACCATTGCTGCCAATGGTGGAGATGCACTCATGGAAAATTACCGGATTGATTTTTTCCCCCAGTGTAAATGCACACAAAGGGAAGTTAAATGACTTGCCTGTGGCCATACAGCAAGTGGTAGAAGTGGTCTTACAAATCAGGCATTTGTTTCCAGGTCTCATGATATGAACACTAGTCCATGCTACTTATGTTTGAAACAAGATGGACTAATATTTATATTTAAAATTCAGTAATGTTCAAATATCCATGATGTCTTCTCATAAGACAAACATTTCTCCGAGAATGAATTGCCATGACAGAGGTCTTTGCTTCCTTATGCTTGCACAACTGATTCTTTACAGTGACCAAAACATGATATTGGAAAAAAGCATGTGCTCAAAGCAGCAACCCGATCATGAATTAATTAAAAAAAATATTTTTAAAGATAAAGATCAGTCTTTCACTAATTCTGACTCTCCCTTATTTAAAAAAACAAGGTTAGCAATTACAGCTGTGCTTTTAAACTTGGCATGTTTGCCTGCTCATGTTAGAATCTGTTTTTATCATGTCTTTCTTAATTTCTAAAGCTTGCAAAGACATCTCATGACTTAAGTAAAATGGCAGCCATTTACTTGGTGGATGTGAACAAGGTGCCAGTGTACACCCAGTATTTTGACATCAGTTATATTCCATCTACTGTCTTTTTCTTCAATGGACAGCACATGAAAGTGGATTATGGGTATGTCAGTTTGCATGAGGTTCTCTTCTGTTTACCATAATTAGCACAGTCTCTGCCTTTGTTATCTTATGAGGTGACTTGAGAAAACTGTACTTTCCTTTGTCAGTAGTTGCATGAATATTGAAAGAGAGCAGGCCAAGTAATGAATGGGCAGAGATGCTGAACTACGCCTTTCATTTTGAAATACCCTCTCGTTTAGTACTGTGTGAAAAAAACTCTGATACATTTCACAGATGATGTGCAGTATAATGTCACACTTCACTCTGCTCTCCATGTTAAATTCTTGGTCATACCACAGCATCTTTTTAGGTTTTTGAGGTCTGGTCACAATAATTCCTATATTGCCTTGTCTTTTTACTTCATGTATACCATACCAGAGTGGTTCAAGCCATAAGAGTGACTAAATCAAAATCCTCCGTTCTGTTGAATAAGTTTTCTTGTCTTTAAAAAGTTTGTTTCAGACTCTTTAACAGGCATTTACATTTCTACTGTCTTTATCTGCTACATAGGTCTCCAGATCACACTAAATTTGTGGGAAGCTTTAAAACAAAGCAAGATTTCATAGATTTGATTGAAGTGATTTACCGTGGAGCAATGCGTGGAAAGCTCATTGTACGGAGTCCTATTGATCCAAAAAATGTTCCCAAATATGACCTTCTCTATCAAGGAATTTAAAATATTGATTTGAGATGAGCAAAACTTGTGAATTCATCTTGAAGACCATATTGGTCACCCTTTGAAGACAGACATTCTGTCACTTTCTTATAAATAAAGGTACATGTTTACTTGTATGAGTCACACAAATTATTCTCTGAGATGCACACTATCTAATGGCTATGATATGGTGCTTTGAGAGTGAAATTATCTCGAATGTGGTATTGGTGAGTGAACAAATCACATTAAAGCATGAGCATGTACTGCTTTGTGATCACTTAATACTGTTCTCAATAGGAACAGTATGCAAACAATTGACCGGTTTTTCATTTTTGTTCTAAAATAACCCTTCCATTTTGCATATTTCACCAATTACTGCCTTCCTATGTAAGTAAATAATTCTGTCCCTTATTGCTAGCAGCGGAGTGGGAATTCCTAGAAGCAGCAGCAGAGCATGGTTAAGTCTACCATTGAGCAAAAGGATAGAGGGAAACTTTTACTCATTCTTCAGGCACAATCATATCCTCAAAAGATCCTGGCCAAAATGGAAACTGAGGCCACAACTAAACACTAACGTTCTGTCATCTTTTAAGGCTCAATCTTGCAAGGACTTGAGCATCCTTAACTCCCACTGATGCGAATGGGAGCCAAGAATAGCCATTTTATTTACATTTACTATACAAATAACTGGGGGTTATTTTACTTTCCAACATGCTGACATACAATCAGTTTGCACAATCTGACTATGGAGGTGCAGAGAGCTCTTTCTCTTTAAGAAATACCAACCCCAATTTGAAATGAGACAGCCAAGGAAAGGGGAGAAATAGTAATATAATTTTTCATATATGGTCATTTTTTAATTACAGGTTGCTTTTTTATGCCAAGTTTGTATTTTATTTTTAATTCGTCCAGGTTACTACACTGCAATATTTCCACAGCAATCATTCAGTCTGAAAAGGAGTTAAATGAGGCCAAATTAATTACTAGATTAATCTCACTGGTTTCACTGGAGTAACACTGAGGATAAATTTGGTCCACTGTATATATGTTTAGACTATCTCATTTCTCTGACTGGCGGAAGGTGGTAGTGTATGGTTCAGTGAAGAATCTTTAGATGACAGACTAGTGTCCAAAGGGAAGCAGTAGAAGACTGGAAAAAATATTGGAGAATATTTAAGGAACAGCTGGGCACTGCCAAGTGAGTGGATAGGCTAATGTTAGATTTGTAGGGTCTTTAGCATTAATTTCATATGCCAAATTGCCCTTTACAGTGAAATTTACGGATTTTTTGCTGACAAAATCTACTTAGCTCAGATATGCACAAACTTCACAACATAAGCTTCCAGAATCAACATAGGTAAACTCTGGCACACCTTCACACTGTTACTATGTACCATTTTAAAGTGCAGGAATAACAGAAGAGCTCAAGTTTAAAGCTCACATGAATTGTTTTTTTGAAATTGCAAGAATTAGCTTCCAAAAAGAAAAGACCAAACTTTTCTAATGTTTGGTGATAACTTTATTTGTTCTGCCAATTAGTTTTTCAACAACAATAAAAATCAGAAACCCAATACCACCTTTATGGCCATAAATCACTCTGCAATGCAAGGAAGCTAACATGGTAGCTTCAGTTTCAAGCTTCCACGGAGTGGTTTTAAAGAGGGAGAAGATTCCTGAAAAATACTTCAGCATTCTTTTTATGTATTGCCTCTCTTCTTATTTTTGCTGCTCCTTGTTACAATAGGAGAACGAGATAAAGCTACTGTCTTCCTAGCTTTCAGTGTGCTCTTCAGGTACTTGAAAATGGCCTGTAAGGTGGAGGATGGTGCTAACCTGTATTTTTCAGTCCCAGCAGAGACTGTAGGACAGTCCACTTTCACAAGGGAACCTGTGGGTCTGTCTAGAGGTTTACTGTTTGTTACCCATTCACGGCAATGTTTCTGTATCCATTCTTGCACTTGTGGATTATTTTTTGCCTGGTGTAACGTGTGGTGCATGGAGTCAATAAGGGCCACAGAATACACTTTATTCATCACTTCCCATGTTCTCTGCATGAGCAGATTGATGAAAACCAAGCCTCCGTAGCCATGGGCAATAAAGGCCACATTCTTGGCTGCGCTCTTTGAAATAAAATTATCCCAAATGTAAATGGTGTGCTCTTCGGGGCTGCTGCTGCACCTCTTTGGGATCCACCAGGAGGAATTTACAGTGGAAGATTCTTCCTTGGTAGGTAAACTTAACCACTCATCTTCCATCTTCAGATCAATGAAATTGTCATTGGGATTTAAAACAATCACTCCTCCATAGCACTGAAGGGCCGTTTTAATGAATGGTATTTGAGTTCCATGATCCAGGCCCTCATGGATTATGGTCTTTAGCCCCCATTGACCAGCACGAAAGACTCCATGGTCTTGTAGGAGCACAATTAGGCTTGAGGAACTAGTTAATGCTTTCTCGTTGATGAAAAAGAAACTTCTGGGTTCATCTTCTGTAGCATCTGTTGGGATGTGGACTTTCTGAAGCTTGCAGACTCTTTCCAGGAGCTCATAAACATACTGTGTAATGAGATGCCCCAGAACTTGATAGCGTTTATGGTTCCTCTCAAGTGCATTTTTGTAATAATTAAAGACAAAGGGCTCATTGGTATCTAGATGCTTCAGTTCACCATTTTTGTTGAAGTCGTATTTCAGTTGCTCTGGACACTCTGAACTCTCTACTAGTTTCCTGAAGCTTAACTCCTGCTCCATTTGCAACTGCTACAAATAAAACAGATGATGCCCTTACAACTGTGGACTTGGTTTATTTGTTTAAACATCATTTCTCAGGCCACTGATTCTGAAATTGTGGCATATGGACTACACAAGGAACACAGAACACTTGCTAGTCTTCAGCAAACTGACTACTCCCTGCCTTCTAATTGCTAAATCACATTAAAAGAGGCTAAAAACACAGTAAGTACTTTCTTAACTCTGTTTTGCCGCAAACAATTGCTATAGTTGCCAAAAGGAGATTATAGGATCAAGAGCGGGAGACAAAGTAATCCACACAATCATGAACGGGAGGGGAGAAGGTCCACAAGAAAATCTGTCTTTTAAGATTCATTTGATTAATCTTTTAAGGTTAAAAAAAAATGAGAAACCTCTGTTTTAGACTGTGTACTTTTATGATTGCCTTCTATTGTAACTGATCAAAACTGCAGCAGCAAGAGTTTGGTATACTTTTAGGCTTTGTGTACAGCTTAATGTTTTTAAGCTCGATATTGTTTCCCATTTTTCTGTCCGTTTCCTCTCCCTAACCCTTTAGCGTAGGTGGGAGAGTGCAAGCTAGCCCTTCATGTAGCTGCAGTACTGATTTGACAGGAGTTCGGTGCTAGCGGCAGGGAGAGCAGCTGGCAGAGAGCTTCCATGATCACTGATAATTTCTTTTAGTGTTGTCTGTCTCTCTGTACACTAATTTGAAATTTGATAAATGGTTTGAATTAAGCCACAGTACTTGAATAAAACTGTGCACGGTGGATAGATTTAAATCAAAGTGAGAGGTTTTTAAGAACAGGTTAGACAAACGCCTGTCAAGATGCTCTAGATCAGTGGTACTCAGACTGAGGATCGCCAGCTGCAAGTGGCTCTTTAATGTATCTCCTGCCGCTCTTTGCAGCACATGATATTAAAACACTATATGATTTAATTATTAACCAATCAGGATGCTTTTACTATGTTATTTACCAATTGTAGTTGATAAAATAATAATACTTGGTAAGTCATTTTTCTGAGAGTGAGTGAGTTTGTGTGTGTGTGTATGTGTGTGTGTGTATATATATATATATATATATGTATATATAAAATATATCAATAAAATAAAACAATGAATTCACACTACTGTGGCTCTTTTGGATAATGTTGACCGTTAATTTGGCTTTTGAACCACTGAAGTCTGAGTATCACTGGTCTCAGTATACTTGGTCCTGCGTCAACATGGAGGGATGGACTAGATGACCTCTTGAGGTCTCTTCCAGCACTTCATTTCAATGATTCTATAAATCACAAATTTTAACTATGATTTAAATCAGCAAACAAAATACCTTAATTTAAATAATTGATTTTAATTTTGTTTAATTTTGTTTGCATTTGTATTTTTTAATTATTTTCCTGAAGAAAGGTTGATTCTCATTGATTGGTGACCAGTAAAACATATTGATTTGCACATAATTATAGCCTTTACACAACATTTGGTACTCCTTATTGCTAGTCAAATAGATTCACTATATCTGTACACATTTATTTAAGCAGTTATATAGCTTAACATACATTTATTAAGAGTCTTAACTTCTCCATTTTTATTATATTTTAAAATGGTAAATTATATTTATTTGCTTGATTATAATTAATTTTTTACTTTTGATTTGTGTCAACCTGCAGTTGGAGGAAACTTGGAATTCAATTACAAATGCACAAAAATAGCATTTTAATTTTTTTGTATTAAATAAAACTATCCTAATATGCTGAATACATAAGGGGGAGAAAAATAAGTTTATCAAAACATGTTTTGCATTTAAAACTAACTCGTTTATTAAACAAATGAAGTATTAGCTACAGATGGTCACCTATGATTCTCCCAATCTGTGGGGAGGTCAGTGGAGAGAAGAGAATTAATGTGTATTTCAGGAAGGGAAGTACACAAGAACCACAGTATGTTGGATGTAGCACTGAAGTGAGGACAATTCATATGTGGGAGAGAATCTTTCATATAAGAAGAGCTGCATATATGGATGTCTCTTCCTCAAAGCAACACAATGGGAGGTGGTTGAATGCAAATGTCAGAGTAAGAGACTACACAGAGTAACAGGTTTCAGAGTGGTAGCTGTGTTAGCCCGTATCAGCAAAAACAACGAGGAGGCCTTGTGGCACCTTAGACTAACAAATTTTTGTCCTCACCCACAACTATTTCAGATTTGGGGACAATTTATACCTTTCAAGTCAGCGGGACTGCTATGGGTACCCGCATGGCCCCACAATATGCCAACATTTTTATGGCTGACTTAAAACAACGCTTCCTCAGCTCTCGTCCCCTTACGCCCCTACTCTGCTTGCCCTACATTGATGACATCTTCATCATCTGGACCCATGGGAAGGAGGCCCTTGAGGAATTCCACCATGATTTCTACAATTTCAGTCCCACCATCAACCTCAGCCCGGACCAGTCCTCACAAGAGATCCACTTCCTAGACACTACAGGGCTAATAAGTGATGGTCACATAAACAACACCCTATAACAGAAACCTGCTGACCGCTATACTTACCTACATGCCTCCAGCTTTCATCCAGACCACATTGCACGATCCATTGTCTACAACCAAGCTCTAAGATACAACTGCATATGCTCCAATCCCTCAGACAGAGACAAACATCTACAGGATCTCGATCAAGCATTCTTAAAACTACGATACTCACCTGGTGAAGTGAAGAAACAGATTGACAGAGCCAGAAGGGTATTCAGAAGTCACCTACTATAAGACAGGCCCAACAAAGAAAGTAACAGAACGCCACTAGCCGTCACCTACAGCCCCCAACTAAAACCTCTCCAGCACATCATCAAGCATCTACAACCTATCCTGAAGGACAATCCCTCACTCTCACAGACCTTGGGAGACAGGCCAGACCTCGCTTACAAACATCCCCCCCAACCTGAAGCAAATACTCACCAGCAACTACATACCACACAACAAAAACACCAACCCAGGAACCAAACCCTGCAACAAAACCCGGTGCCAACTCTGTTCACATATCTATTCAAGGGACACCACCAGAGGACCTAACCACATCAGCCACACCATCAGCGGCTCGGTCACTTGCACATCTACCAATGTGATATATGCGATCATGTGCCAGCAATGCCCCTCTGCCATGTACATTGGCCAAACCGGACAGTCTCTATGCAAAACAATAAATGGACACAAATCTGACATCAGGAATGATAACATTCAAAAAACAATTCTTCAATTTCCCCTGGTCACTCAATAACAGACCTAAAAATTGCAATTCTTCAACAAAAAAACTTCAAAAACAGACTGCAACATGAAACTGCAGAACTGGAATTAATTTGCAAACTGGACCCCATCAAATTAGGCCTGAAGAAAGACTGGGAGTGGTTGGGTCATTACAAAACCTAATTTCCCCCATACTAATTTCCCCCTACTGTTACTCACACCTTCTTGTCAACTGTTTGAAATGGGCCACTCTCATTACCACTACAAAAGTGATTTTTCCTCCCTTGGTATCCGACTGTTAATTGAATTGTCTCGTTAGAGTGACCTCCCACTTGGTAAGGCAACTTCCATCTTTTCATGTGCTGTGTATTTATACCTGCTACTGTATTTTCCACTCCATGCATCTGATGAAGTGGGTTCTAGCCCACGAAAGCTTATGCCCTAATAAATTTGTTAGTTTGTAAGGTGCCACAAGGACTCCTCATTGTTTTTACACAGAGTAAGGTGATGACAGTCTGGAAAAAGGAAGAAGCTATTCACAAGCAGACTGCCATCCAACCAAAATATCCCCAAGATCATAGCCTAGTGGTACACAGCACCTCACCTCGCCTATTCCAGGCTACATTATTATTCTTTTAATTTCCACAAAAAAAGAGAATATACGATACCAATTTAAATCCTCTAAATGTAACTTAGAACATATACTTACATCCATGTTTACTTTAGGGCACTGGGAAGGGCTTCTGGTGATTTCATTCAGCTCTGTCTTGGGATTCTATTTTTATGGATGAAACAGTGACATATTAATGTAAACGTAGCAAATTACTCTTTGTTGTTGTGGCTACACATCTCCACAAGCCCTCTACCCAAAAAATAAGTACAGGCAGGTGACAACTCTGAAGTTTTGAAGCAATTTACAATTGTTTATACCTAAGACTTTTTGATTAAAAGCAAATTATAAATTATAACCCTATTAGTTGGGAAGAGGGATTTTATTGCAGCAGTATCATTTCCAGATTTAAAAAAGCAGTGACTTCAGATGGCTATTAGTACAGTCTCACTATATTAACCCCTGGGTGCTAGAATTAAACTTTAAAATGCTGAAGCACTCCAGTCTGTGTTGCATTGTTCCATAGATATAAATAACTAGGAATGCAGTATTCAGAGCTGTCAATCTGGTACCTTTTACAAATTCTAAATTCATATCAAAATATATATTCAAATGAAAAATTAACTCTTCCCCCTGCTGTACATAACATAAGTCTCAATTGTAAGGCCTGCTGGGCTGAGATTTTGTCGTCTTGTGTTTGTACAGCACCTAGCATGTTTGGAGCACTACTGCAAAAAAAAAAAAAAAATACTGTATTTCATGAGGTTTAAAATCCAAGTTTACCTCCATCTCAACAAGACCCACTTATCTCACCGCTTCTTCTTGTAAATTTCGTTATCAGAAAAGCAAAATCTTGAATCAGAGGTTGGAGAAAACTTCACTCTTTTAAAGAAAAGAAACCTATGTTATTTCAAGCTTTCAACTTCACTAATTTGTTATGTACCTCCTCTGGGGGCTGTAAAAGGTGTCAGAAACTATTGTGTCAGATCATACATCTGTGGTTCAAAAGTCTGCAAGTTATGATCTAAAGTATCATTCTCAGACTTTGACTACTCCTTGACAGTGTCAAGATTAAAGCCCTTTTTACAATACTGAGCTGAGTTGCCAACACTGGTTTTCAGCAAATACTTCCCCTGACCTGATACAAAAATGGTTTAAGTACTACTGAAGAGAGGAAAAAACTATTTTCAATACCACATCAAAGGTGCTTGTGACTTTTCTTTCTGAAACAGTACTGAAAACATTTCTATCTCATCTGTACTAACACTTACAAAGTTCACAGCAGGAGCAATTGCTGAAAGCTATCACCAGAAATACAATGTATTAGGTCCCAAACCTGCACACTGATCCATAAGAGGGAACACCTGTGTCTCCAAACAGCCCCAGTGACTATAATAGGGCTCCACTCAGAAGCAGGCATCTGCACTTACCCATCCTACTGGAGGATCAGATAAATAAGACTTTATGAATTCAAGTACAATTAAGATCTGATCTCAACCTCATTACAACCTCTCTTGAACTTGACCAGGATCAGGGATTCAGTCTCAGCGAGACTGTGAGAAATTTTGATAACGGTTATATACTTAGGTGTGTGTTTTCTTGATCAATTCCCCCTGTTGCTTCAATTCCCTATACTGGAGGACTTTTTCTTGATACCACATGCCTCCTCAGCCCACATATCAGTAAAATTAAATGAGAATTATTTGCTTTTATAGGGAAACGTGTATGAAAGTGGCAGGCCCAACTGTTACCCTTTAATTTTCTCTCTTTCCTCAGGTTAAGTGAGGTGTTTGTTTCAGGTTTTTTTTTGGAAATCCAGTCAAAACAAGATTTCTATTTCTTTGGTGCTTTGGTAATATTGGGGATTAAAATGAAAAGAGGATTAGATGCTGAGGGAAATAGGGTAGTTAAGTGAAGGACACAGGAACAGAGTGTGCGGGCACTGGTGTGACACTGAAAGAAAGACCAGTGTGACAGGAGTAAAGCCAAGCTTGCCGGGGGGAAACGATGGGGTACAGAAGCAGTGTCAGGAGGTGGTATTCAGTGGCGCTCCTGGGTGGTGTGAGAGGACTTGGGGCAAAGAGCAGGATCTGGTGGGGCCCCGGGGGCTGAGAGAGGGCAGTATTTGGTGGGGCGATAGGGTGATGGGAGGAGGTGGAATCTGATGGAGCTATGGTATGGTGGGGGAGCCTACAGGGTTGTGGGGAGCTGGGAGGAGACGGTATCCGGTGGGGCTGAGGGATTGTGGAGGGGGTCCGGGCGGGGCACAAGAGGTTGGTGGGGAGGTGGGAGGAGGGGTTGGGGGGCTGTGGGGCAGTGAGAGAGCAGAATCCGCTGGGGCTGGAGGGGAGTTTGGGGGTTATGTGATGCGGGGGAGTTGGGGGCACTGTTTGGGGGTTGGGGCAGTAGGATGGGGGTTTGTGGGGCGATGTTGCGGGGTCCCACAACCGAGGGCAGCGGGTCTCTGCGAGGACCCTGCGCGCACCGACACGGGAAAGGGCAGCAGCGGCGACGCCTGGGCCGCTGGGTGGGGGCGGTGCCTGGCGCCCCGGCCCGGAAGTAGCCGGGGAAGGTGCGCAGGCGCCGGCGGCGGGGAGCGGAGGGGACCCGGGGGCAGCTGCGGCGGCGGCGGCGAGCGGAGCTGGGTGGCGGCGCGGCCCGCCCGGGTGAGCTGCGGCTGGGGGGACCCCGGACCCCGGTGGGGGCGCGGGGCCAGACCAGGGCAGGGGCTCTGCAGGCGCAGCACAGGCCCGGTCATTCGCCCCCTGCGCCCTGCAGCGGCCCCCTGCGCCCCAGGGGCCCTGGCGCCCTTCCAGGGCCGCTCCCCCGGCTTTGGGCAGAGACGCGGTCCCTGGGGGGCGGCGGGGCGGCAGCGGGTAAGAGCCCTGTGAGCCCCTCCCGCCCCCTCCCCCTCCCCCCCGCAAGCACCCCCGTTTGTCTTGCCTATGGCGGGGTTTAAAGCGCACCGTGGGAGGCGGGGTCTCTGGGGCTGGGCTGGAGGCGCCCCGCCGGACACGGGCTTTCCTGTGCCCCTGGGGGAACGGGCTGGGTGGGTTAGGCGCTTGCTTCTCAGCAGCAAAGCGACAGCCGTGTCTGCACGCCCCAGCTGCGATGCATCAACTACCCTCGCGCTGTCGGGCACGGGGCACAACCCGCCCAGTGTGGCCGCAGTGACACGCTATAAAGGTGCTAGGGGGATGAGCCGGCCTGGTGTAAGGTGCTTTTATACCGGGATAACCGCATCTGTCCTGGGTGGGGCGTGATGCTGATAGAGGTGTGCTCGTTAAAAAACCAAATCACACCTCTAAGGGACATTGCTATGCTGGTGTAAGAGCTAGATCTCGGATTCTCATGGAATCTCTTGAATCCGGGAGGAAGAGCTCAGTGTGTGGTGAGAGCTGGCAACTGCTGAGCCTTTCTGTGATGCTGAGCTACCATCCCTCCTGTCTGAGTGCCTCGCAAATGTGTACGTTCATCCTTGTGACACCCCTGTGAGAGAAGGAAGTTTTATTATTCCCATTTCACAGATGGGATTGGGGAGCCAGTGGGGGGTAGCGGGGAAAGGAAGGTCAGACAGATCTGACGAGCCAGGGTATGAGGGAAGAACTTGGGAGTGGCTGGGCAAAGAGACTGGGGCAGGGGTAGCAATGAGACTGGATCAAAAGCCTGAGGAGGGAGACTGGTAGCCAGTGGGGTGGGAGAGCATGGGTGAGGGGAGGGGGATAAACCAAGGACAGGTGGGAAGGAGAGAGACAGATCGGATAGGGAAGGGAACTGAGCTTGGCTGGACAAAGAGACTTTCGCTGGGACTATAAACTTGAGGACTGGAGAATGAAATTGCCTAGGTTTATTTCTGCCTGTAAATCCTCTCTTGAAGATTTTATGGTTCCTTTCTTAGCACTGGGCTCAGAGTGTAGATAGGCATCCTTTGTGAACCATACAATACTCAATTTACATATAGCCAGTCAGATAAACATCATTTACCTGAAAGAAACTTGTTTGTTACCTGGTCACAAGTCACAATTCTCAAGAACATAATTTTCAGTATATATACATAACTCCTTACTTGTTATCCATACATACGTTTTGCGAGGATTATGACAACCAGTGTGACACAGGCTGTCAGTAGAGACCTTACATGATGCACATTGACAAACTAGTATGAAGATTCTAGACCTTTATGTACCCCTGTGCCCTTAGACATTTAGCACCAGGAGGTCCCTGGGTCACAGTGATTTAATGGTTAAGACAGTTGAATGCTCCCCTGGGAAACTGGATTCTATCCCTGGCTCTGCCTAAGAGTTCTAATGTGATGCTGGGAAAGTCGCTGAAACCAAGCATTTCACAAGTACTCTTGAGGGCATTCTGCACCAAAAAATTAAAAATTCTGCGCACAGTATTTTAAAATTCTGCAAAATACCACAAATTTTATTTGTCAAATAAATGTGGAGGCTGCAATGTGGCATTAGGGAGCACAGGCCACTGGCTGCACAGAGGTGGGAGAGCGCCCTCCCCCCGGACACGGACTCAACAGTGAGGCTGCACACAACCCTGACACAGTGCAAGGACTGGGTCTGCCCCAGAAACACTCCAGTGCCCTTCTCCTCCATGCCAGGTGCCCCAGGTGTGGGCAGGCAGGCTCAGCAAGGCAGGATCCAAGTGTGGAGAGGCTTAGTGTGGGTGGATCCAGGTGTGGGTTGAGAGGGTTTTGTGTGGGGCAGTCTGGGTGCGGGTGGCTCAGTGTAAGTTTGTGTGTAGACAAAGTCTTGTGGTGAGTCTGTGTGAGAATTGGAGTTTCAGTGCAGTGCCTTAACTACAAAGCTGTGCTGCTCCTATTAGTTCTCATTTCAGCAAGGTACATAAGCATGTGCTTAACTTTAAGCATGTGTAGGCCCATTGTAGTCAATGGGAGTATTCGTGTTCTTAAAGTTCGGCATGTATCTAAGTATCTTGCTGTTCTGGGGCTTTAGGCATGGGTTTTGCCAACATGTTCATGGTCTAATTCTTCAATTTGTGCACCAGCTCAATAAAACAAGCAAAAATACTTTTATAAGTGAGGAACTCAATACCATTTAAAAACATAAAAGTCTGTTTCACATATTGCCTTTCTAGTACTTTCCATCCCCCTAAGGGTATTAGATGCACTAATCTGTGCAGTCCCTCCCATTTTGTATGTGGAACAACTGAGGTATACAGGTTAAGTGACTTTTCCCAAGGCCAGACGTAGATATCAGAGTGGGCATTAGAGTTTTGAAGCTACTAGTCTTATTTTTAGTCTACTAGGCCACACTGTCCTTGCAAGGAAAACATGAGCAACAATAACAACAATCAATTAGAAGATTCTTAGGTTGTAATACTCTTCTAAAAGATGGAAAGATGGAATATGAAAGGTCTCAATTGACTTAGGGTACAATTAATTTATTAAATAGAACTGGGGCTTAAATAAACTCACTCCTCATAGAGAGGAATTCAGACTACAGTTCTAGTGAGCAGAGTAGTTTCCCCATCAATTAGAACTGCCATTTGCCAGACAAACTTTCACATAAAAAAAAGTCAGTTAGATCAGGAAAATCTTTTAGGTGGGAGGCTTCATGCTGGATATGTGTCATTAAGATGTCATATAGGAGATGTGCAGAATATGTATAAAAGAATAATGTCCCACTAAGTTCAGTGAGGTCTGACGCTATATTCTTCCCTGTGAGGAAAGAGATTTGTAGAAGTTCTTTCTGCCAGAAACTCTTGAGTTACAATCTTAGTTCTAAAAAGAAAAGGAGTACTTGTGGCACCTTAGAGACTAACCAATTTATTAGAGCATGAGCTTTCGTGAGCCACAGCTCACTTCATCAGATGTGTACCGTGGAAACTGCAGCAGACTTTATATACACACAGAGAATATGAAACAATACCTCCTCCCACCCCACTGTCCTGCTGGTAATAGCTTATCTAAAGTGATCAGCAGGTGGGCCATTTCCAGCACAAATCCAGGTTTTCTCACCCTCCACCCCCCCACACAAATTCACTCTCCTGCTGGTGCTAGCCCATCCAAAGTGACAACTCTTTACATAATCAAGTCGGGCTATTTCCTGCATAGATCCAGGTTTTCTCACTTCCCCCCCCACCCCCATACACACACAAACTCACTCTCCTGCTGGTAATAGCTCATCTAAACTGACCACTCTCCAAGTTTAAATCCAAGTTAAACCAGAATATCTGGGGGGGGGGGGGGTAGGAAAAAACAAGAGGAAACAGGCTACCTTGCATAATGACTTAGCCACTCCCAGTCTCTATTTAAGCCTAAATTAATAGTATCCAATTTGCAAATGAATTCCAATTCAGCAGTTTCTCGCTGGAGTCTGGATTTGAAGTTTTTTTGTTTTAAGATAGCGACCTTCATGTCTGTGATTGCGTGACCAGAGAGATTGAAGTGTTCTCCGACTGGTTTATGAATGTTATAATTCTTGACATCTGATTTGTGTCCATTTATTCTTTTACGTAGAGACTGTCCAGTTTGACCAGTGTACATGGCAGAGGGGCATTGCTGGCACATGATGGCATATATCACATTGGTGGATGTGCAGGTGAACGAGCCTCTGATAGTGTGGCTGATGTTATTAGGCCCTGTGATGGTGTCCCCTGAATAGATATGTGGGCACAATTGGCAACGGGCTTTGTTGCAAGGATAAGTTCCTGGGTTAGTGGTTCTGTTGTGTGGTATGTGGTTGTTGGTGAGTATTTGCTTCAGGTTGCGGGGCTGTCTGTAGGCAAGGACTGGCCTGTCTCCCAAGACTTGTGAGAGTGTTGGGTCATCCTTTAGGATAGGTTGTAGATCCTTAATAATGCGTTGGAGGGGTTTTAGTTGGGGGCTGAAGGTGACCGCTAGTGGCGTTCTGTTATTTTCTTTGTTAGGCCTGTCCTGTAGTAGGTAACTTCTGGGAACTCTTCTGGCTCTATCAATCTGTTTCTTTACTTCTGCAGGTGGGTATTGTAGTTGTAAGAAAGCTTGACAGAGATCTTGTAGGTGTTTGTCTCTGTCTGAGGGGTTGGAGCAAATGCGGTTGTATCGCAGAGCTTGGCTGTAGACGATGGATCGTGTGGTGTGGTCAGGGTGAAAGCTGGAGGCATGCAGGTAGGAATAGCGGTCAGTGGGTTTCCGGTATAGGGTGGTGTTTATGTGGCCATTGTTTATTAGCACTGTAGTGTCCAGGAAGTGGATCTCTTGTGTGGACTGGACCAGGCTGAGGTTGGTGGT